ATGGTTATAACTTCTTGTTAAATCGGTATATCATAATGAAACTTGGCATACGGACACATAATAACCAACTGGGGGTATTTCCAAAATTTTATTTAGAAATTCCAAGAATTACGGGAGTTAGAGAAAAGTGCATTTGCGGTGGAGAGGGGGGAGGGAGGGAAATTCCAAAATATACATTTTTTGCGTATTCACATGAGGCATCTGGGATTTGGTGTTCCTAGGTCTTATAGTCTCCGAGATATAGGCGATTATACGAATGGAAAATCGGGAAAACCCCCATAGGGGGGAAGTGGGGGGGGGGGGGGGAAATCAAAAAAATAAAACAAACTCGTAAAGCGTACACACATAAGGCATCTTTGTGCAAAATTTGGTGTCTCTAGCTCTTATAGTCTCTGATATCTAGGTGATCATACGGACGGACGGACGGACGGACGGACGGACAGACGGACAGACAGGGCTAGATCGACTCGTCTCGTCATGCTGATCAAGAATATATGTACTTTGTGGGGTCTGCCACGCCTCCTTCTGCCTGTTACATTTTTCAGCTCGCGCAAACCTAATATACTCTTGTACATTTCATTTACAGAGTATAACACGCCTTAAATGTATGTATTAATAATATTAATCTTATAAAAATAGGTTAAGTAGGTTATAAACATCACTATTAATTTTATCTAAGAAAATTGCATACTTTGTGCCTAGTACATTAATTTATAAGAAATCTTCTTGTCGTACTAGGAATTAATAAACAAACAAATACAATATGACAGAAACAGAAAATATGAGTAGCACAAAAAATGAGTAGTTAATTTTTTTATAATCAGATATAGCTTACAAATATTACAAAAATTTTACCTGATCATCTTTTGTATCAAATCAATGGGATTAAAATAATTTATAATCAAGACTATTCGAGTTTGAACGTACTTAAAACAAGATTTTTCTAATCTGTACCCGAAGAGAATAAGGGTATACATGATAGTGGAATGTATGTAACAAAGTAGTAAATTTTTTTTTTTATAATCAGATATAGCTTAACTGCATACAAATATTATAAAAATTTTACCTGATCATCTTTTGTATCAAATCAATGGGATTAAAATATTTTATAATCAAGACTATTCGAGTTTGAACGTACTCAGAACAAGATTCTTCTAATCTGTACCCGAAAGGGAAAAAGAGTATACTTATGTATTATGTTTGTGGAAAGTATGTAACAAAAAGAAGAAGCATCTCCGATCCCATAAAGTAATATATTCTTAATCAGATGCAGCCATGTCCGTCTGTTTAAATAAATGCCGGGATGCAGATCAAACTTGCTATAATGAACCTCCTAATGCCTTGGTAATACAGGTTTTGCTATTTTCTTCCCCCGTTATAGAGATTCTTGAATACTGTCCACAATTCCAAAGGTTGGAAAACAAAACATTGCATACTAATAATTTTAACAACTCTATTTCAGTTTGAAATTTCGTTTTAAGCAAATGTATAAGAGAAGTAGCCGGTTTGCCCTTCTTATTCTTAGGATACTTTAAAACATACTTTCCTTGGGTACAGGGTATTGGACTGTCGGGCTTGCTCTAACGTGAGGGCCACTAAATTAAAAGGTCTTGTTTCCACATCAACTATTAGTGTATTAAATTAGTTTATCCTTTAAGCCATACGTATTATTAATTATTAATTATTTAATATTAACATTTTCCTTAAATTTATTTCGAACTTATATACAACTTACCATTATCGGCCAAAAACTGCAAAAAACGGTTCACTGATATTCCATTTTGATAGGTTTTGTTTTTTTAAAAACAATTCACTTTTTGCTTTGATTTCCATTCATTGCAAAATATTAATTGCTTTATTGAACTAAAATATTATAATACTGTATGCTTGGGGCTGTTAATCCATTATTATTAATATTGTGTGCATTGAACAATTGATGTATTGATGTTTATTTGGCTTTAGTTTTAATTAGGAATATAATTAACGCATCACATGTATTTCACAATTGATTTCGAACATTATTCGAGGAATTGGACTGCATTTCAATACCTCTATCATCATTTATATTTTATATATCACATGCCATATTTATTGGGAATATTATTGATTTATGTGTGGGACCAATCGGGCTAAACAATAGTGTAAAAGGTAATTGCCGCACCCGTTCCATTTATCAGTAGCTGCCAACGGGCACTGGCACTTGGCATGAGTAGCCAAATAATTTGGCACTTATTTATTATTTGGTTTTAGCTTTTCGGGTATTATCTGCCAGCTCATATCGCCTGCGGTTATTTGGCTGCTTTGGCGCCACAAGAAAACAAATCACATGCGCCTCAACTCGTATGTAAATTATAGAGAGGTGCGCGGGCGCAGACGCAGACAAAGACGCGGATCCGTGGAAAAGAGCTGACAAAGAGTCAAATAAATAAATCAGCTTAATTACAATTGACTTTCGGCGTGCGGCACCGGCCCCGGCGACGGTTACGGGTTCGGTATCTAAAGTGTACTGATTGCGGGCGCCTTGCGTTGAACACATTTTATGTGGTTGAGGTAGGCGAACGAGAGATTTGCGATCGTCGCGACTGTGATTGAATGAGTGACGGATTGAGCTGTTGGATTGAGTACTTGGATGCTCATTATCGGACGGCGCTCATTTCAAAAGGATGGTGAATGTATGAAGCATTGGTGCCTGTATTTTATGCATTGCCTGTCACTAACATAAGGGGGCTTTATTTGATATACCCTTGCAGATACTGTACCCGCCTCTCTGCGCATCACAGTTCTTTAACTTAAATAAAGTTTGTTGTATGTACATATGTACTTATGTATCAAAATTTACATATACTTCATATGAAGTTTTTGATATGGAATTGATTTGAATGACAAAAATAGGCATTTACTGTTATGTTTTTGAAAAAATAAAAAAAAAAAAGGAAAAACAATTTCCTTCTAGCTCCAAACATTGCTGTTTTATTAATAATAAATTATTCCTTCTACAACATTATATTTTATCAAAATCGACGATTTGGTTGAAAAGATATAACTATTTGAACTTTTAAGAATCGTTGAACCTATTCAGTCGAATTCGCTTTACTAGTGTACTAATTTGAATGAAACTTTAGACTAGAACGATACAAAAATATTATAATTTATTAAATATAGAACTCAACATCAGTTCATGTAAGTCGAAGAGCCTTAATGGCTCCACACAAAATGCTACCTTAAGCTCACTTCGAAGTAGAAGAACTACTTCAATTCTTAATAGTATATTAAGATAAAAATTATTGATTTATTTATTTATTTAAAATTTAAAAAATTGCGCCTTTTCTGCTACTAAATAAGGTTTAGCTTTAGCTATTCGAATTAAAAATACAGTTGAATAAAAGTATATAATTTTTAAGAAATAATTTTGAAATTTTTTTTTATCTTTCTAAGCAAAATAAAAGCTTTTCTAATAGGAGTGTTAAAGAGACTTTCTAGTGCAGGGCATTTGTAAATATGTAACATGACACTTATGCACAATTTATTAATCATTTAAATCGGAATAATGAATAATCACGACTATAAACTTGTAACTAGCTGGCTCGCTTACTGCCTCCTCTGGCCTCGTGTGAGTTTCTGTTTTGAATCGATAACGTATACGCCGTGTGCTACCACTCGCGTGTCGTCTGACTGTCTGTCGTCGGCCTGAGTGGCCAACAATTTGAACATTTTTGCCACAACTTATATACTTATATAATTGTAATTCGATATCAAATTTCCTAGCCAGCACCCACCAGCAGCCGCAAAACTGCATACGTCATTGGCAAGCGCAATCAACAGTTTTCCAAATCATCCGATCTCCGCCGGTGAAGAGAGCGAAGGGAGCGGAGCGATATCTTGCATTGTCATAAGCATATACTATATGCATGTGCATGAGTGTTCATATACATATATCTATGTATGTGTATGTATTAAGTACTGCTACCCACTAATTGTCGCGTAATTTCGTTTGAGATGTCAAGATCAAATTTAAGCGGGGCAGCTACTCATATGTTAGTATGTGTATGTGTGTGCATGTGTGTGTGTGTGTGTGTGTGTGTGTGTGTGTGTGTGTGTGTGTGTGTGTGCCAAGATGTTCAACTGCATTATAAAGAGGGATAATTGATAATTATGTATGTGGCTTGTTTTTATTTGTTATATATGTATATTATTTTTTGTGCCAATCATAGTTCGTATAATAACGCAGCTCTTCAAATATTTAAATAATGGGTTATATTTTTTATTTCCTTCAGTTTGTTTTCATTTGCCTAATTTACAGTTAGTGTTTTTTTTTCAAGCGACATAGTATCTATAATTAGAAATAAGAATAAATTTTGCTTTATATATACATAAAATATACAATATGTATTATATTATATTTCCAAAGATATGACGATAAAATTGTTTGACAAATAAATTAATATTTCTTTCTAATGAAAGGCAATATAGTACGGAAACAGTAGGGTATACAAAATGAAGGAAATATTAATAGTAAGACTTAATAAATCCCATATATCTTCGGCGCAGACAAAAATATATTTTAAGCTCACTTGATAATCACTTGCTATATACCTATTCGTATATAAATTTCTAATTGGTTTTGTAGATGAATATATTCGCCTATTTAATTTTAAGCTTAAATTCTATTAGATTAATTACATATATTACATAAATTATTTCTACTTAGAGTAAAGTTTTTAAATGGATTTTACTGCAGTTCGTAAGCAGTGCAGCTTAACGGAAAATCACACCAAGCAGTGCGTAAATTTTACTGCTTGCAACGCATTGGTTTATGCATGAACTGAAACGAGTTACCTCTCAAGACAACAGCTGTTTGAAAACTAGTTCAAGTTCAGTTCCATTGTTCCTGTTCCATTGCGCGATTTGTATTTAGTTTGTCGGTTTGCCAATTGTGTGTTTTTAATTAATTTAATTTAAATAAAACTAATATAGAAACATTATATTACAATAAAGAGAAAATGCGCGCACATTTGTCACAACTGTGGCAAACGCGCGCCCCAACCGATTCGCATCTGCACACATACTATTTTTTTGCGGTTCTTCGGTTTGTTTTGGTTTTGGTTCCACAAAATGGATATGTCCATCCCGATGAATTCTTTCAGTCTGTCGAGGTGATGACCGGTAAGTGGAGACATATGTACATACATACATACATATATAAAAATCGTTCGAATGTTGACATGTGTTTATTTTGTTTGCAGGGGATCATTTTCGCTTGGAGCACACTCGCACCTGGGAGTTTAATAACACAATGCCGCTAAGGAGTATAACGCTGCCATTTGCTTTGCTGCGCGTGCCTTGGAGCTTCTACGAGTTCATAGCGCTTTATGTGCGTATGTGGTGTGGAATCGAGCTGGTGAACAGCTACGCTTTCCTCGTGTTTCCACGTCTTATCTACACATGCCTCTCGTTTAGCATCGATTGGTGTGTGTATCGCATCTGTAGGCTTTATGGACTGCGCTACGAGATCCGTTTGCTAGCGCTGGGCAGCTCATGGGTGCTGCTGGTCTTTGGCACACGCACCTTCTCCAATACATTGGAACTGGTCATGTGCTCGTGGCTGCTGTGTCTGGTTGCCGAGTGCATGCTAAAGACCAATACAATTGTGTACAAAAAGGAGTATTTGGAGGAGAAGTACGACAAAGCTGCCTCGATTAGTGAACGGGTCAAGATATGGAAGCTGAAGAATGCACTGCCTGCGCACAACCTGCAGTACCTTTTCGCCATGTCCAGCATTTGTGTGGCTGGTGTCTTTAATCGTCCGACATTCTTGCTCTTTGGCGCACCAATGGTTTTCTTCTGGCTGCTGCGCGGAATGGGCACAAGAACGGTGACATTCCGGGACTTCAATATGCGCATCGGTCTCTTCTGCCTCTGCGCTCTGCCCACTCTGCTGCTCTTCATATTCTGCGACTCTCTCTACTACCAGCACCTGACCGTTGGCGAATTACACATGTTGCAGCTGGGGATTGACAACTTTGTGTTCACACCCTGGAACTTTGTTAAGTACAACATCGATTCGACTCAAACGGCCATGCATGGAGTCCATCCATGTTATGTACATCTGTTGGTTAATATACCAATGCTGTTCAATGTACTTGGCGTAGCGGCTCTTGCGGCATTTACTCATCTTCTTCTGCGTTTCTTTCACGCCGAATATCAACTACTGCCTCGTTTCCAGAGCATTGTTTCCCTGATGTCTGGAGCGATATTTGTGCCGCTCTTCTTCCTATCGCTCATCAACCACCAGGAGCCGCGCTTTTTGCTGCCCATCACGTTTCCATTGCTGCTGCTGCACGCCCCAAAACTTATCACAGGCTTCAGCCCGGCATATCCCTTTCAAACGGAGCATCCGATGTTGCGCTGGATCTACGATCGTGTGCTCTGTTCAAAGGCGTCGGCTCCGCACCTTTTGAGAATCTGGTACATAGCCAATGTGCTGTTGACCGTGTTCTTTGGCTTTATACACCAGGCTGGTGTATTCCCGCTCGCTCAGCACATGGCACATGTGGTGGCGACGAAGCCAACGGCCACACATGTGCATCTGCTTACCTCGCATACATACAGTTTGCCGTTGCATCTCGTGAACGTTCCTAGCTCGCGGCTACTCCACTTTAACGCTCAAACCCATCAGCGCTATCGGCGACAGCGTGACTTTTACTTGTACGAATACGGCGGCCTAGAACTGGACACACTGTTGCACAAAGTGAAGCTGATTATAGGAAATTGCGAGCTGCGGATGTCCGGCAGTCAACGTATACGTTACAAGATGTATCTAGCAATCCCAGCCTCGCTGAGTGGATCTCTTCATGAAGCGTTTCAGCGTTCGAACTCCAGTACATATTTAAACTTCGAGCTGCAGTCCGTCTTCTATCCGCATCTGTCGACAGAGGCATTTCCGCAGATGCAAGGACGTCATCCCTGCGATGTCGATGCTCCACATTGGGCGCATGATAATCTGCGCGGCACTTGTGATGTTGAACAGGCCCCCTCGCTGCGGTTCTCCTACCTAACTCGTCAGTTTAGCTCGTTTGTTCATCAGTTCGGTTTGGCACTTTACGAAATTGATGTGCGGCGAAACTTGCCGTTGCACTCACAAACGCTAGACTTGGCCCCAAAACAGCCATCATCAACGTGAAGTCTGGTTACGGCATTCCAGTGCAAATGTACAAGTATGTGTCTTATTTAAGTCCTTAAAGCTGAGTATAATGTAAGCCTAAGCGTTGAAACCAAAGTATGAAGTTCCACTCATTTTTGTAAGTCATATAAGCTGTTGTGCACAGTTTCGTTTAACGTAAGGCCTTCTGTTTGAAAGTCCTTGTACTTCATTTTTTTATTGATCTCATTATAATGTATAATTATTATCTAAATAAAATATGTACAAAAGATGATTGCTTTAAATAATTTGAAGTGCTTCATTGAATGATTGCAATAAATAAATATGTTTGAAAGATTTGGGATTTGTACAAAATAAGGTAATTTTTGAATATTTAACTGTCTATTCGCTCTGTAACTCCACAATGGAATCGAATATTCTTTGAATTTTAAAGGAGGAGGTTTTTCCTTTGTTCTGATTGAATATACATCTTACTCATTGTTCATGTGGTTATGTCTCTTCTTTTATTGACATATTTGGGATTTGTATCAAATAAGATAATTTTTGAATATTTAATTGTCTATCGCTCTGTAACCCCAGAATGGAATCGAATATTATGCTTTGAATTTTTTAAAAAGTTTTTGCTTTGTTCTGATTGAATATATATATTGAATATATTTGGGATTTGTACAAAATAATGTAATTTTCGAGTATTTAACTAATCTATTCGCTCTGTGACTCCAAAATGGAATCGAATATTATTCTTTGAATTGTTGAAGAAGTTTTTACTTTGTTCTGATTGAATATACATCTTAGTCATTGTTTATGTTGTTACATACTTTTTACCCTACGGGTACAGGGTATAAAAATACAAAACCCAAAAATACGATTTGAGTCAATAAAAAATTATGAAATTAAAACACAATTTACAGACAAAAATAATAGAAGTAATGAAGTCTTGAAAAAACTAAAGTTTCCTGAACTATTTAAAAACAAATTAACTGATTTATGTACCGATTACAGTGACATATTCGGTTTACTATAGAAACAGAGGCAATTTCAAGAAATAACTTTTATAAACAAAAATTAAGATTGGCAGACAGAACCCCAGTATATATTAATAATTATAGAAGCGCAGAGACAGAAAGGCCAGAAATAAACAGACACGTCGACAAACTAATAAAAGATGGTATAGTTGAACCATCTATTTCTGAATATAACAGCCCACTTCTCTTGGTACCCAAGAAATCTCTCCCAAACTCCAAGGACAAAAAATGGCGTTTAGTAGTTGATTATCGTCAAATAATAATATGCCTCTTTTTTATTTAAATATTTGCGATTTGTATAAAATAAGATAATTTTTAAATATTTAACTGTCTATTCGTTGTTATGTTATGTAATAGTTTTAATGGACTTTTTAGTCGATACTCTTTTCTTGCGAAAACAGAAAGATACTTGTCCTTTACAGTGGACCAAATGTTTTGATTTTTTTACTGCAAGTTGGGAGATAGTATTATCTCCAAAACTGAAACGTCTTGACTTGCTGATCAAGAAAAAATATAGTAAAAGCTCATTAATTTTTAGATGAAACTACTAGCAGCAAAATGTCTGGCTGCATTTTAATCATTTTAAAGAAAAGATGTAGAATTGCGTTTTTGAATCGATCTTAAACGATTTCGAAAAAACTTCAATTATGTATTTTTTGTATTTCGTTTAGCATTGAATCAGCCTTTTTGTAAACTGAATCAGTCCTGAATAATGTTAAAAACCAGATCCCGCATGCTCTAAAAATATGTGTGGATATAAAAGCCTTTGCTTTTGATTGCGGAATTGGCATTGATTTGATCCCAAATTCAAGTCGCATCATATATATCCAAGATTAAATTGATAGTCAACATAATGGATATGTGTTCTTTAACATATCCACACTATTTTGCAATACCCTTATTACGAAAAGGTGTATGCAATTTCAGTTTTATATTTACTTCTTACTTCATTTGATTGATTTTGTTGCTTATAGAATATGTAAAAACTGTGATAAGATCCCATTGAATATGATTTTATTGTTATACTTGTATTCGTTTGTCGAGACGCGTTGATCGACAGCTACCTCAAACATGAAATGGGAAACATTAATCCATTTGACACGCCGGCGATAAGAGAGAACCAAACAACCAACCTACCAACCAGCATTTGCACATAATCGCCACTAGAATTCTCATCTGTGTTGTGGGTGCTCTGGTTTTTGATTTGCAGCATCCGCGTTCAATGAACGTTACTCGACAAAAATTTCATTGCGACCGCGTTCTAATTGAGCGCTTTTTATTTGGGGAGCTTAAGCCGCAAACTTGTTTGCAGTGCAGGCTCTTCGGATCGATTTTGCTATAAAACCATCGAGCCAATTGACAACCAGCATCAGTCGTTGACAAACCAATCAACCCAAAAATATCTCACAAAATGAAAGTAAGTCGAAAATAGGCGTTCGTTAAAAAATTTTGAACTAATTATTATTTGTTTGTTTTCACAGTTCCTCATCTGCTTGGCTCTCTGCGTTGCTGCCGCCCAGGCTGGCTTTGTGTCCCCCGTGACAACATATGCTGCTGCTCCGGCATATGCGGCCACCTACGCCGCTGCTGCTCCGGCATATGCCGCCACCTATTCCGCTGCTGCTCCAGCCTATGCCGCCACTTACTCCGCCTTGCCCGCTTACACAACCTACGGCGCAGCTCCAGCATACACAACCTATGGCGCTCACGCTTACACCGCTCCTGTCACCACCTACGCTGCTGCACCCGCCTACACCGCCCCAATCACCACCTATGCGGCTCCAGCTGTAGTTAGCCCATTCCTGAAGAAGAAGTAATATGTTGCCAATTTAATCTCCCGCTTCTCTGAAATTTGAAAATAAAAGCGTTCTAACATCATGGAATTAGCAAAGATTTATTTTTTGCATACGCCTGAACTGAAGTGTGAAACTCTTCTTGAATTTCGCTGAAATTTGAAAATTAAAATCTTCTAACATCATGGAATTGACAAAGTTTTATTTTTTGTATACGCCTGACTTGAAGTGTGAAGTACTCTCTCTTTCCAAAAATTTCTCTGAAATTTTAAAATAAAAGTCTTCTAACAACATGGAATTGACAAAGATTTATTTTTTTGTGTACGCCTGAACTGATGTGTGAAGTACTCTCTCTTTCCAAAACTTGTTCTGAAATTTGAAAATACAAGCGTTCTAACAACATGGAATTAGCAAAGATTTATTTTTTGCATACGCCTGAACTGAAGTGTGAAACTCTTCTTGAATTTCGCTGAAATTTGAAAATTAAAATCTTCTAACATCATGGAATTCACAAAGTTTTATTTTTTGTATACGCCTGACTTGAAGTGTGAAGTACTCTCTCTTTCCAAAAATTTCTCTGAAATTTTAAAATAAAAGTCTTCTAACAACATGGAATTGACAAAGATTTATTTTTTTGTGTACGCCTGAACTTAAGTGTGAAACTCTCCTTAAATTTCTCTGAAATGTGAAAATTAAAATTTTCTAACATCATGGAATTGACAGTGTTATTTTTTGTATACGCCTGAACTGAAATGTGAAGTATTCTTCTAAAATGTCTCTGAAATTTTAAAATAAAAGTCTTCTAACAACATGGAATTCACAAAGGTTTATATTTTGTATACGCCTGAACTGAAGTTTGGAATACTCTTTTAATATTTCTCTAAAATTTGAAAATAATATAATATATATAATATAATAATAATAAATAATAATTGAAATAATCAATTAACTATTAGAAAGAAACTTATTTTTATTTGTTTATAAATCAAGAACTTTTAGTCTTCTAAGACAAAGGTTTATTTTTTGTATACGCCTGAACTGAAGTTTGGAGTACTCTTCTAAAATTTTAAAATAATATAATATATATAATATAATAATAATAAATAATAATTGAAATAATCAATTAACTATTAGAAAGAAACTTATTTTTATTTGTTTATATATCAAGAACTTTTAGACTTCTAAGACAAAGGTTTATTTTTTGTATACGCCTGAACTGAAGTTTGGAGTACTCTTCTAAAATTTCTCTAAAATTTTAAAATAATATAATATATATAATATAATAATAATAAATAATAATTGAAATAATCAATTAAATGTGATTAGAATGAACTTATTTTTATTTGTTTATATATCAAGAAAACTTAGTGTTGTAAAATTTTTTTAAATCTCATCAAATTCAATTCATATAGCATATTATATTCATATGCATATTATAACTTATCGGTGGATAAATCAATCTTAGTATATTTTGAAATTTTTATATATTCGGCAAATCGCTGCACTATGTTATGAAGCAGCTTTTCCTACCCTTGCTTATTATTTGAAAAGTATTTATGTTCTTTAATAGGATGTGGGCCATGGTTGCCCATGCCATTTCTAAGGTAGTAAGAGAACAAATCGCTAAACTCATCATAGTTCAAGAACAATCAACTATATTTAGTGAATTTTTTCATTACTTCCAGCGCCTTTAATGGCCCATCAGCGTCAAAATCTATTAAAGATAGTTAAACAAAAACTACTGCGGCTGAACATTTTGTTTTAAAGTAAATATGAACTTGTAATTATTCAGATTTGCTATTATTGGGAAAAGTTTAATCGACAAAAAAATTTCATATTTTAGACAACATTTAAACTCTTTTCAGAACTTTATTGTTGATTTATTCTGCATACATTTTGTGGTTGCTGGTAAAATTAAATGCTTAGTTATAGATTGTTTACATTAAAGATATATAAATAAATAGTTAGCACTAATCGGCGACATAAACTATATAAATACATTATCTATATAGTGACATTTGAAAAAACATTGCCAAATACAAAATAAATTCTTGAATATTCCAAACACACTAAGCCTACTATGTGGAAATATCGAGTTATTGTGTTTTTCAATTTAACGGGGTTTGTGACTGTGTCTGGGTGATTAGATTTCTTCAAAGACCATCTCTTCATCAGGATCATTCCAGCGGACAGTTCGTTCGCTGCTACATTTGCTATCGAATGCAATAATTGCGATAATGCCACATCGGGGTTGTTTGGCGGCAGAAGAAAAAAAGTAAGTTCAGAATATATAGACACTGTCGCTGTGAACACATAAGAGTTTGTGTGATTGATTGGTATTTGTGGGAAAAAGTGCAAATCGAAATGCAATAGAAGCCAAAAAGCAAAGTGACAAAAAACAAATATACTCGAGAAATATTCAATAACGTTGGTAAAACCTGTTCATGCCGGCCGCTGGAGGAGGCGGTGGCGGCGGAGCGCTGCGTGGCGGCGTTCGACGTGCACTGAAAATATAGAAAAGTTGCTAAATATAGATGAGAATATATCAGGGTTTGTAAAATGCGAGCAAAACTCATTCGGACACACGAGAAATTCTGCCGCGGGTCGCAGTGAGTCGCTGCCGACTGAAGCAGAGTGTCGCCTGAGCCGCCTGGCAGAGGCCATGGGTCGTGCGTGTCGGCCGTGGGTCGCTGCCGACTGAAGCAGAGTGGCGTACGAGCCGCGCTGCACAAGTCGAGCGTGTCGAGCATGTCGCCAGCGACCCACTAAAACCCGCGGCAGAATTTCTTATGGGTAGCAGCGGGTAGTGGGCACATTTTACGAACCCTGTAATACATAGAACACTACTCTGTAGAACTTACGCCGCTACAGCGTCATCAAAATGGCCACCTGTACCATAAGTTTCACTTTCCTCTAGATCGTAATCATCGGTACCGGTGCGTTGTCTGTAAGAAATGATGGTAAAAGGATTAGGAAGTAGTTCCACTACTACTACTACTACTCCTACGGTTGACATCTTCAGTGCAAAGTCCGAGTTTGTTTATATAATACTCGCAGATTAATCTACAACTGTTGATCGAATCAAGCAAAAAGTTTTTAGCAAGTTTGATAATTTTGTGAAAGCGGTCCGTCGTCTACGGTTTTACACTTCTAAGCAAATGTAATTGAACATTAAGTATTTAAATTATATAGAGAACAACAAACATTCTCCTGTATTTAAATTGTATAGAGAAAAACTATAGAAATACGGCGTCCAACTACGTTATATAAAACCTGCTATATTTTATTTGATCGCTTATAAATTTGTTCTATTATTGTTCTATATTAGTTAAAGACATAGTATTTCGGGGCACAGACAATTGGGACTCACAGTCGTTGACTCCGTTTGTTAACAATATCCTGCATGGCTCGAGCAGTCAACGAGACCTTACTTTTCAAACGCATCGGCGTTCGGGGCATGGGCACTGCGGGCTGAGCATCAGGATTCACTCTCAATACGGGCGTTACCGGACGACGAACCGACTCGCTTCTAGCTCGGTCCACATCCGTACTACGTCTTAAAATGAGAAATTGGGGCCAAGTTGAACGGCAAATGATTGAAGCGTGTCTGGCACACTTGGCACTTAAGGGGTCACTTACAACTTTGGCTTAGTACGGACATTGCTGCGTGTGTCCGGCTGCCGACGGCTATCGAGCCGCTGCTCGGGACTGGCGCTGGTGGGTCCGCGCCAAGCGTTTTCTGCAGCTGCATCCTCAAAGTCAAACTCCTCAGTGCTTTGACGGTGACTAAGACAGAAAAGTTTGTTGATACTTAGATGAAGTTACTACGGAGTAACAACTATAGAAGGTTAGCTCAGGGGTTGGTGCAAATGGGACCAAGTGCTGACTCAGTTCAGGTTGGAAGGGAGGGGCCTCAACTTACAGCGGTGGCTTGGTTTTATTCTTTGACTGCCAACTGCTTAGATTCTTTCTAGACTGACTGGTTTCGCGCTCATTGGAGGTGGCTCTACTGGGCCCACTGGACGAGCCCCAGTTCTCATCATCGGGCAAGGTGCCACTACGTCGGCTGTAATGATTGTGTCCTTAGATGTTGATTTTATTTTTCTATACTTACAGCTGTTGGCGACTGCGGGCGGGCGTGTTGGGTGCCGATACATCCCGTCCCTGACTCAGCTCACGCTCACGACTGCGCTGGTCACGCCCCCGCTCTCGCTCCCGCTCCAAAGATCTTTGATTCTGCTCCTGACGTCGCTGCTGCTGTGGCTGATGTTGTTGTTGTTGTGGCTGCTGTCTCGAGGGTGTTGAATCTTCATCGGCAATGTCCAGCGTTTCTTCAGTGGCAGTACGTCGTCTAAAGTTAAATGAAGGTTTAATAAAAAGTATGCCTTGTTCTTTCAGCTCTAGAATCCTTACAATGGCGGCTTTGCGCGTGCCGTGCTGCTCGTGCTACGCTCACGCTGTTCCCGTCGAGAACTACTGCTACGGGTTCGCTGCTGCTGGCGTTCCCGCTCCCGTTCGCGTTCGCGTTCCCGTTCCCGTCCCCGACCTCGACTCCCACTTCGCTGATCGCTGCGATGATGTTTGCTGCGTGTCTGGGCCACCTGCATGGCATTCAGCCGGGTTTGTATGCCAATTAGGTTAAGACCCACTGGCGTACCAATGGCCCAGAGCAGCAGCGTCAGAAAGGTGAAGAACCACAGGGCATTTATGAAATCAACCATATTTCGACAGAGGAAGGTCCGACTGGCATCAAATGTGTCATAAAATGGACGACACTTTGTAGTTGTGTCGCCGAGCTGGGATTCCATGGTCGCACGGCTGCTAGTCAGATACGTTTTGAGGCTGAACACAAACAAGTTGGGGAAAAATAGTTATAGCTATTCTTGATTAATCAGCCTATAAATTATGATAGGACATCTGTAGTTTAAATATAGATGTGTATAGAAGATTATGGAGTAGCATTTTAATTGAAAGAATTATCCACCTTTTAAGATAGCCTATAACTGAAATTATTACTTGTTCACTAAATATTTCCATTTTAATTTTAGTGGAAGTAATTACAAAAATTTTCGACGTTTTTGAAAAAATCAAGCTAATAGCAAGATCGAAAAATAGAAAAAATTACGGAAAAAAAACATTTTTTTAAAAATTTGTAACTACGTTCTTTAAGTTTCAAATTGAAAGTTTAAAAGTAGTAAGAATAAGTAAAGGACTAATTATATTTTCAGCAGCAATTAAAAACTCGAAAGCTAGTCATATATTTTTTTTATTAAAATATAGTGTATTACTAGTGTATCTGTTTTACCTGAGAATCAAAATATTCGCAAAATAAAGACATATTTTCTCTCCTCATTCTAATTAATTAAAACCCAATCACAAATGTAAAGCGTTTCTTACGGAAATATATCTCTTTAACTAAAATAAAATATGAGTAAATGACAAGAGTTAAATTTAATAAAATAAACATTATTATTATTATTATTATTTTTAAAAAATTCTTTATTCTTTATTTAAGATCTGTCCTTAGGAGGACAATTATTAAATTTTATGGAAGCATTTGATTTGTTTAATCATTATAGAAAATTTAACAATTTATCGATTAAGTTGTAAATGAAGGAAGCGCTATTTGGTTTTAGAAATAAAAAGGAATAAAAATAATATAGACTTACATATTTGTATATGTAAGTATTCAACCATTTATCGAAAATTAAATAAAAATCAACTCCTGACAAACATTTATAGTATAATTTGACATAAAATATGAAATAATTAATCATAAACTAAAAAGTGAGGCCAAATAAATGAACAAAATTAATAAAAGGAACTACACAAAAATATATTTATATTTTTACTTTCTTTTACTCAATGAAATAATATAGAATAGTTTAAGCATTAGTTTGGCTTTAAATTTTTCTTCAATTTTGTATGTTAATAAATAATTTCAATCTCAAGTTTATTGTAGAATAATTGTTTTTTTGTGACTTGTGCTGCAATAAATAGGCTGCACTATCTGCAAAAATTAACTTTAAATACAAATTAATAAATATGCTCGCACACATCTCTAGTGAAATTATGAAGGCGAGAGGGAAGGTGAATTTAAGTTCTTTATACTACATGTACATAACATACTTGTACACATTTTTCTCAAAATTGTGCAACTCAGAATCGAATCTTGAACTATTATTTTAGGCATAAAATTGTATATTAGTTCATAATAATTATTTTTTGCAATAAATATTTAAATCCTATTGCAGGATCTGTAATTTTGCACAGAATTTTGTATTATTGTCAACTTTTTGTTGTATAATATACAGGTATGTATATGTACAAGTATTAATGATAAAAATGTGTGATTGTGCTTTGCTTGTAATTTTAATAAATCTCAGAAACTGTTGCTTGCATTTTAACTCCAATAACATTTCTATGTTGCAGGGAAGCCAACAAATTGCATTTAAAGCTGTCGGATTTACTGGGTATTGTCGTTTTTATTACACGAGTACAACTACACCACAGAAATAACATGCAAATGGAGGAATGCGAGCCATATAAAACGATTACTACTTTCAATTATCTGATAAAACACCGAATTGTGTGCAATTGCAAGTTTGAGTTGTTTGTCTGTTTGCTGTGAAAACTGAGCTAACACCAATAAAACAAAACATTCTGAATGGCTGAGCCACACCCATGCATTCAGGATAGGTGGACAGTTGGGCACATGGAGAGCTTCCCAGACATCACTCACATAGTAGAGTGATGCAATTAGACCGATACAGTGGGGCATGTGGCCAGATGGGTGGCCAGATAATTGGGCTACACTCACCGTTCCGTATATACGCGCGTCTGATTGTGGCAAATCTCACCGGCCTTGTTCTCCAGGTAGCCCTGTATATTCTTCAAATGGTTAAGCGTCTGGTTGACCTGCTTCGCCCAGGGATCTCGCTGCAATTCCAACGCAGTCAGGTGGTACAATATCTCATTCTGAAGGTTTTCCAAAGGCTGCAGGATGGAAGCTTGTAAACGTTTTGAGCGACTACCAAGCGTTGTCATGCGTGATGATGTGGCAACATCTTGAATCTAAATGGGGGAAGAGAGATTTAATTAAAAGTTAGTTCACGTTCTACTTCCATTCAACTTTATTCAGTTCATTATTAAGTTATAACAACAGTTTTTGTTTACTTTAGTTCGTTTTTCAATCGATTGCATTTAACGTTTCCATTTCCCATGACCAAATAAATAAATGCTATATGTAAACAATTACGACTATAGTACAAAAAAATGAAGCGTTTATGTAAGCCAATACTGTCATAGATATGTATTTGTATATATACTTGATTTAACAATTATCTGTCAATATAAAGACAAATTAGACTCGAACATCAAAGAAACAACATGACATACAAGTATTTTAAATATAGTGTAGGTACTGTATTGTGAATTCTGTGGTTTTCAAACATATTTTAAAATAGTTAGATAATTAACCGATCAAGATTGAAGCAATGATTTCTTAAAATTTATGTGGTAATTCGAAGATGGCTGAACGTGTTGTACAATGGAAATAAAAACGGTATTCAGGCTAATGACATGACATCCTTACTGATGGTCTGGAATTCGACTTGGCATAGTCGAAATATATTGTTTAAGTTGCAACGCGACCTTAAAAAAAATACAAGTATGTATATATTTACATTTAAAAAAAAAACTGCGTTCCTTAAAAAAACATAGATGTTTTCCAAAGAGCTCATAAGCCGAGAACTCGCAAAAAATGAATGTGGCGTTGGTCTAAATTTTATTTTAATTTCCTATAATTATATATTCTATAACGTTATGTACAAAATACCTTAAATAGTGTGTCTTCGTGGGCATCAAAATCTCATTCTTAGCATAGTTAAAAAATTGAAACTTGTTCAAATATAATGGTTTTTAAAAATCTTTAACCATTGATATCCAGCTTAGTTCAAGTTCTGGGCGTATTTACCTGCTTTGTGGAAGATACATCGTCTTTTTCATGGTAGCCAATAATTTAAATTCATATTTTCTCTATTTTCTGCAAATTCTGCTATCTTAGCTTTCAATTTCCCCCGCAGCTATGAACTGAACTGAACTCTCCAATGATGCAATGTTATCGATTCAAATAAATATTTCTGGTATTGTAACCAATTGCCAAAGAATGCACAAGTTGCAATACACTGGTTTTTATAGATTTTCTCTGTCCAAGATGGCACTCAATCTTGGACTAGCCATTGGTAAATGTTTTTAGAGTCAGTTAAAACTGTTGTTGGTGATAATCACCTGGAGGGCAACTCGCTGCATCTGATCAATGAACGTTGCCAAATCCTTCTCGGGCGTGGGAGCACCCACACTGTTGCGATATGTGGTCAAATTAAATGCGGACGTTTGCAGCATGTTCTCCAGTATGTTCTGAATGGCCTGAGTCAGCGAGAGCAGTGTACGTTCCGACACAGAAATTGAATCGATGGCCGACGAAACCTTTGGGAACTGTTTCAAATCGGCTATTTTTGTCGTATTAACGAATGCATCCAATTGAAAGACATTGTACGATGCTTGATTTTGTTCGCAGCCCCTGTGGTGCACAGGAGTTGCAGTGCGGTGCGGTCCGTTAGCCAAACATTACGTATACGCCGTGTACGCGCGTGTGTGTGTGTGTGCGTCAATGATGATTGAGTTTTCAATGCGTGCGTTCAGTTGAATTAAGTCAGTGTGTGCGTGTGTGCGTGGAAGTAAGTGTGTTGATGTGCATTTTTAAGTTGGTCGTCGATGTCGTTGTCGCAGTCGTCGTCGTTTGAGGCGGCAAGGAAATGTCCAAAAAGAGTTTTTGTTTAGTCAAAGCAAACTTTTAGCCCTCGTTATTCATCGTTGTGCACTTGCTGTCGGGCCAATTTGGAGCATACTCGGTACTATACGAAATTTGTTAGCTTAACGTGCTGGTTGCATTTCTACTTACAAACGCACAGGCATGCAATACATACACTGATAAAAAAAATGCACGTAAATTTAAATATTTACACGTACGTAGACTTAAATACTTTAACCATCGATTTTCCACCGTGTTCTACTTTAGTAGATATAAAGTGTGCACACTTCAATTTCAAGTTTAATATTAAAATATCAAATTTAAAGAGTGTCGATATTAAATCACAAGTGATGATGTGGGCGTGGGTTTCATTCGCGCCAAAGCACAATGGTCCAGAAGTCGTTTTTTTTTTTTTGGCATAAAGTCGAAATTTCGATGTGAATATATCATATTTTTGATTTTAAATTATTTAACTAAATATCTCATACACAAAAAAAATTTAAAAAAAAATTTGAAAAACTTTACTGAAGCTTTTTGTGAGCTTTCAAAGTAAAAAAATTGAAAAAATGGCGCCTATTATATCTTTTGTGCGTGCCAGTCGAATAAATTAAAGCCAATTAATAAAAGGTAATAATGGAAAATAAAGATCTTTGCAAAGGTTTATTTTGTATAATTATAAAATATTTATCCCACTTGTTTGTCTACTCCTCCACTATTTCTTATATACTATACATACATATATTTTGTATAGAAGCTTTTTTAGGAGAAAGTAATTTTCAATTTTTGTTTGTTATTATCAATTAACTTGACGTTTTTTATGCCTTTTATATAGTTTAGATCAGAAGAATTCGATTAAGATATTAAAAATATTAAAATTTAATGTTTTTCTTCTAAAAACTTCAAATTAAAGATGAAATAAATATTAAAATTTATTATGGGATTAATGTAGTTAATGTAACTATTTGTTATTTTTAAATTAAATATGGACCATATTAACATTTAATTGAGTATGACACACCTTAAACACAAATATTTACACTTTGTTTTGAATATTACAAGTATTCATATTTAAATCAGTAATTGAATGTGTGTTTAGTTAAATTTGCGTTGATTGTATTTGATTTGAATATGAAATAGTAGATCATTAAATTGAATATGAAAATATTCATTTATACTTTGGAACTTTTTTTTTTGAGTGTACATACTCGTACATACAAGTATGTATGTATACATATACTCGTATGTATGTATGTAAAGATTTGCATGCATGCGCATTTGTATCTGTGCAGATAATTGGAATCGTGCTTAAAATTTTGTGGCTACAAGTGCTGCTGTTGGGGTTTGCATCAAGAATCTGCGTAAAATTGAGTGCTATGTGGCTGGGAAATTTCATTGGGTTTTCAAAACTTTGTGGCTTTCTCGTCCAGCTTCTTCGGCGTCACCCACATACTAGTGGTAGGCGTTTGTGTGAGTGTGCAGAGTGTGTTGTGGTTTTTGCTTTTACTCGTATAAGTTCTACAGTGACAATTTAGTTGCCTGGTTGGCTGACTGGTTGGCTGGGCAGTGCAAATTTGTGATTGTGATTGTGCTTGGGAAGTAGTTTTAAATATTTTATGAAAAGCGTCGTAACATGCAAATAGGCGTTGCAGATCTTGAACAAATTGTAAAAGATTCGAAACAAATCCGGAAGCGCTAGATATGCGAATATTCCTTGCTTGAATGGGTTCAACATTATATCAAAAATAAATTATTATACTTAATTTAAAGGCATTTTAAGAGTTTCATTTTTAGACTGCTTTAGTAGCTTAGATGTCGTAAGCTTAGACGTCAAATGTCTATACCTCAGATGCCATCTCAGACGCCTACACATCAGATGATAGCACGTCAGATATTTACACATCAGATGTTTACTCATCAGCTAATTTAACTTTGGATATCTACACATCATATATTTATACATAGGATATATACACATCAGATATCTACAAGTACATACATATCAGAAGATTACACAAAAAATATCTGCGCAAGTGAGTCTTCTTCGGACTGTCTTTTTTTTAGTTTTTATTGTTTATAAAATAATGAATTTAGTGTTTTTTCGGTGCTTTAATGAATAAATGCAACATTATTTTTCAAGAAGCAGGAGAATCTTTAATTTATAGAAAAACTATTTTACAATACCCTAAATGTTAAACCGCTCTGCTTCACAATGCAGATGCGCAACCTTATTTGTATTTTAATGTATACGACCCGTTAAACGCTATAGCTACGCCTGATCTATTCGCTTGAACTGCGCTGTACATTATTAGCACATATTTGCATGCTTACACAGTGACTACCAAAATGACAGGCACGTACAGTATCAAAGTAATTGGATATTATAATTCGTTAGGTTATCGGTGGATTGGGCGGTTGGGGCTATGTGGGCTGCTCTTTTGTAAATAGGAACATTCATATTCTATTAGCCACAATTGTGCATTAAATGACACTTACCTGAGCGCCGTGCCGAGACTCACATTGACGACGGAGCGATTGACACCGGCCGGTCGCAGAAGCTCGCCAATAATTCCCGTCTGCGGTTCCCTTGCGTATACATAGCCCGGCTTATCAAACAACTTACCCAGCAGCTCGTAATTGTTGTCGGCGTAGAGTGAACGGCAGAGGAATACTTGGGAGTTGCCGCCAATGGCCAGTGAGAATATGCCGTAGAGAGTTAGGGCTACGCTGCCCAGACAAATAATCAGGACAGCTATAAAGAACACCACGCCCGACTTTGTGTTCGACTCGCACAGAAAACAGCAGTAGGACATGAGCATGAAGAGCATTACCCAAACAATCACCATCGCCGCTATCCAGCCTAGACTCCAGTAGGTGTTGGCCCAGTCCTTTAGCTCGTTGTAGGCCGGCTGCATTGAGTCCCAGGTGCCCTGCAACCGCGTCAGCAATCTATTCACCGTTGCTGTCAACAATTGAGCATTGGCGGTGGTTCGGTGGCGAATATTCGCCAGCTGGTCCAGTGTGTCTGCGTGAAAGTTTAGCAATTCAATTAGATGGTCAGCTTGTGTTTTATTGTGGGTGTGTCATCTGCGTGTGTGTGCGTGTGCGTGTGGGTGTGTGTGTGTGTGTGTGTTTGTCAATGTTGCGACCTAGGTGACAATAATTAATATCGAGTTAAACTTGTCGATGGCCAGCCGTAGCCCTGTTGGCATGTTTGTTTCGGAAATTGCGTCTGTCAGGGATGCACAGGTGGGGAACGTTACAAACTACATACGCTTGTGTGTTATTGATTGGATTGTACGTTTAAATTGATCCCATAATTGAGTTTTGAATTCAGGTTGTCGCATTATTGTGGGGAGCAGGCGTAATTAAAAGCACAAGCAACTTATGCAATATTTGTTCGGGAATCGATTTCAGGTCCAAACAATAAAGTAATACGCGTATACACTAAGGGTGTGTGTTCCACTGAAAACACCAAAAACTCCAGACTTCAATGTATTAGATGTTTCAATGAGTATTTATCTATTTATCTTTTACAATTTATCTATTTAGCTATTTATTTATGTATCTCTTTAGCTACTTATTTATGTATCTCTTTATCTATTTGTATTTTTATCTATTTATCTAAGTATCCCTTGTATATATTATATTTATCTCGTTACAAAGTACATATACTTGTGTGTTATTGATTGGGTTTTACGTTTAAATTGATCCCATAATTGAGTTTTGAATTCAGTATGTCACATTATTGTGGGGAGCAGGCGTAATTAAAAGCACAAGCAACTCATGCAATGTTTGTTCGGGAATAGATGTGTGTGTTCCGCTGAGTGACATTTGCTTATGACGGTTTTATTTTTATCAAAAACTCAAGACTTCAATGTGTAAGGAGTGTTTGATTGGGTATTTATCTATTTTAATTTATCTATTTAGCTATTTATTTATGTATCTCTTTAGCTATTTATGTTTTCAAGTATTTATATATTTCTATTTATATATTTATCTAAGTATCCCGTGTATCTACTACATTTGCTTCTTTATTATTTATCTATTTATCTGTTTATCTATTTATCTATCTATTTTTCTATTTATCTATTTATCTATTCATTTATTTATCTATTTATCTATTTATCTATTTATCTATTCATTTATTTATCTATTTATCTATTTATCAATTTATCAATTTATCAATTCATCTATTTATCTATTTATCTTTTTATCTATTTATCTATTTATTTATTTATTTATTTATTTATTTATTTATTTATTTATTTATTTATTTATTTATTTATCTATTTATCTATTAATTTATTTATCTTTTTATTTATTTATCTATTTATTTATTTATCTAATTATATTTTTATCTATTTATTTATTTATCTTTTTATCTATTTCTATGTGAACTTATTTTTTCTTGTTTTTTACCAAAAAATCGAAATATAATGTGTGGGGGTAGCATATTTATGGCGCATAATATGTCGACTCAGCTGTATTTATATACTTGTATGTATCTGATTTATAATTTATCTAATATTTTGCAATTTTCTTCATCTCTAATGTATTCTTAAGAATTGACGCTTACAACTTTTCATTTTTTATTTTTATTGAAAATTGTGTCATTCTCTTATGTCCATGATTCATTTATATTTTACCATGTTTTCTAGTTTTGGTGTTGTAGTTGTTGGACTTACAATTTCGCTCATATGCCGTGTCATGTTTAACTTGTTGCGGGAAATTGCTGAAAATGGAACGTGACACACCAACTTCCGACGTCAGATTTTTGACAGTGGCACCAAATTCAATTTCACCCAAGTAGCGCATACGAAAAATGCTCTGGTCTTCTTGCAGCTGACAAATTGTCACCCAACGTGTAGCCACGGCACAGGAAATAAGATATTGCGTACACAGCCGGCAATGGCAGGCAAAATTGTGAAGTAAAAGAAAGAGAACAAATTAAAGAAGAAGAAAATAAAAGAAAAAGGAGTGAGATTAAATTTAGCACGAAATCAAGTGACCCCTGAAAGCTCCAGTCAGCATTTATTGTAGCCATGGCTGACCAACTCACCAACTCACCGTCTTCAGTGCATCCACGACCCCGTTCTCCTCAAAACTGCGTATACGCAATGTATCGCAGAGTGGTCGATCTCGGTATGTGCATTGGCGCTGTAACACGGATAGCTGTATCTGCAGTTCCTCCATGCGTGCCGCCGCCTCTTGGGACAATTTTAGTGCCCGGCCAACCGTCTCCTGCAGCATCAGGACCCGATAGATGAGCTCGGCGTTCGCTGCCGTGCAATGAGGAATGCAAGAAATGTATGAAAATATTATTGCTGTGCGTTTATTTTGCCGTTTGCTCAACACACTCCTCTAAATTACATATTGTGAAAATATAATACACTTTTCGTTTTGGAATTTGTCGAGCGCTTGTGTCGAGTTGTCAGCGGATGTTGCCAGTTGCCTTGTTGCAGCTTCAACTTTCCTTGTTGACGCATTTATATACGAGTATACATATACGTGTACGTATAGCATGCTTTTGGGCGCCTTCTCTGGCTGGAAGGCGTCATGTTTGCCGTTTGCATTCTCATAATGAAATTGTGCGCAAACAATCAGTTTTCTTGTGCTCCAGCTCTAGTCTGATATTTACCATTGAGCCATTTGTTAGTACATATTTGTGTGTGTGTGTGTGCGTACTCGTATGTGTTAAGTTTAGTTATCATTGTATTGCAGATTGAGCATTGGAATTGTTTGCTTTGAAAAAAGTATGCTTCTGACAATGTCAAGTATGTATTTCGAGCGTGATTTTGAGTCTCAATGAATGTATTTGGAGCAATTATGGGAACTAACTGCATTGACAACCAATATGTTGATGCCTGGAAATCTTTATTTATAGTCGTATGTACATAAATATATTGAATACTGATTTTAATGATTTTTGTTATTTATTAATCAGTTGATTAAAAACTTGTAAAATGTAGAAACTCGAGATTTTCTTTTATTTTGATAGCATACTTTATGTAATTCTCGAATAGTATTATTCTTATTATTTAGTTCTTTAAAAAAATTGCAAATATTAAAAGTGAAATCAAATAATATAAGAGTTATTTTGACGTTAATGTCGGTATCAAAAAAATGTTGCTATTCAATTTTTTAAACAATTTTGAATCTGTACTACAAGGTGCGTTCCAAAGTAAATAGTTAGAGGGCATTTTTTGGTGGTGTCTAATTGGTTGAAAAGGTATATTATATTATCTCTTACCGACTTACAATATAATTACATTACAATTGTTTTACTGAAAATTGAGTTATCGTTGACAAAGTAACAAAGAGCCAATATTAAGTGTTGTTTTAAATTGGGCAAATCTACCGAAAACGCGTCAACTGATAAGCCAAGTTTGTGGCTGTGATTGTTTGTGAGGACATAAATGGTGATCCACAAAATTGGTGAAAGAAAGAATAGTTCAAAATATTTGTTTTTTTGTTTTTTAAAAATTAACTTTTAAGTAATTCTAAGCTTTTTCTCTCTGTTAAGTTTTTTTTTTATATTGGTAGATTTATTGACGCCTCTGACCACACTTGGCTGTGAGACGGGGTAAGAGGCGTTAATTAGATATTATTGTAATTTGATTCGATTTCTCCTTCTTAGGCTTTTCTAGTTTATAAGATGATTTTTATAATTTTGATGTATTTTCCTCCTATGTCGACAATCATATGTTTGTTGACATAAATAAATAAATACAGCCAAAACAAAAATTTCATTTGGATAAGTCAAAAAAGAAGACATACGTGATTCTAAGGGTATTGTCCGCAAGGAGTTGTGGACTTAGAAGCCATCCAAAAGGCATGTAAAAATTTCTTTGACATACATATTTTTCGCACGTGCAGTATATTAAGTACAAGAAGACTATTTTGAATAAAATAAATTGATACTTGTATTTACATTTATTTTTAAAACGTCCTGTTTACTTTGAAACACACGTATATAGCTACTTTCTATCGACAATCGCGTTATCAGCTTGTGTTCTCTTTTTGAGATTTGCTTAGGGAATTGGGGTCAAGTGTACACCGCATTCACTCCTAGTAGTCCAGCGCAAAAACAAAGCCAGTGTGAACATAGTGGTGGACTTAAAACAGAGACTTACCCAGGCTAAGTGTCGTCAATGAATCATATGCCAGCTCAAGGCCAGTGTGTGCAGATATTTCCGCTTGAATTGGCTCGCCAAGGAGAATATCCACGTCTATGGGCAGGCAAAGAATTGAGTACGAGAGAGTTGTGAGCAAGTTGAAGGCGTATTCTCATATACCATGGCAATGGGCGAACTTTTGGAAGGTAGAAGGGTCGGGCAGGGCAGGGCAGGGCAGGCAGTATGGAAAGCGTACAATAATTCAAAATACAGTGCATAAAACTGGAGCAGCGCAAACTTTTAGCATATATCGAAAACTATAAATGTGCTCTGCGGCCATAGTTGGCGATAAAGTTGTCGCATAATGCACAACTTTTACTCGGCTGGAGGAGCCGCCCACTGACCTTCCAAGTCTTTGACGACTTTCTCAACGGAAACATGAAAGCCATTATCCAGTTTGTGTTTGATTTGTAGATGCGTGTCCTTTAGAAAGGCTTCGACGTCGTGCACAGCAGACTTGACCATTTCGGGTGTCATCTCGATGCTAGTCGACAGGCGACTGTTTGCATAAAATATGCAAAAGTCGCTCAGGCTGCAAAGTGTTGGGCAGACGTCCCGACGTTAATATATATATATTGAAGTGTAAAAACTAACATGCAAGTCTCTAAAACGTACGTGAGCAGTATGAAGACAATCCAGAGCGTGACAACTGCTGCGCTTTTGCGGCATTTCAGACTCTCCTCGAATGCCTCGTCCCGTATATGCACCGGCGCGTTGCGACTCATCTCTGCCTCCTCCTCAATGGCACGTCGGCCGCAGCACCAGGCACAAGTTGCAATCAGCGGGACGAGGGCAAGTATGGCGAATATACTGATTATTGCTATGAAACCCGATTCGATTTTCATGGCCTGTAATCCATAAGCTAATGTCATTTATAGTACGTTTTAATTGGCCATAGGTGTGCGACATAAGTATATACATACATACATACATACGCGTATATAGTATGCATTTTTGCGGACGAAGAGGATCACATTAACTTACATTTGATGCAAAGTCGAGCAGTGTGACATTATTATGTAGGACATCGCGTATAGAATCTAGAAAAGATATACTCAATTTATATTTTATATTTAATATTTCCACAAAGTGTGTTGTGCGTAGAATTGGCAAATTTTTGCAATGAGTTTTTACACCTTAGAGATTTGTGTTCTTACTACTTATAACGTAAATGTAGACTGATAAAAAAACCACGAAAATTTCAATATTTACGCGTAGATTTAACTATTTTTACCATCGATTTTGCACCTTTGCGTGTTTTAACAAATATGAAGTGTGCACACTTTTGAAATTTAATATAAAAATATTAAATTTAAAGTGTGTCGATATTAAATCACAAGTGATAATGTGGAGACGTGGTCTGGATTTTAATAATTCTAAAATGTTTTTTCCACTTTTTTGTCCACTCTACTTTTTTTTTACTCTTTTCAACATTGACATTTCCATGATGCATATTTTATTTATTTTTCAAAAGAACCATTTCTAACAGAATGTAATTTTAAAATTCTTTTGTTATTATGAATTAGTTTTAGAACACTAAATTTAATATGAAAATATTCGTCTATACTATGCAACTTTTTTATCAGTGTAAGAAAAAAATTGTTTGGACTCACGACGATAACGCACCGTTTTGGCTTACATACGGATTTCAAAAACTGGCTTATTCTAAACGAGTTTTGAGATTTGCACATATCTTTTAATTTCAATTCAAGTCAAATTTCAGTGAAGTGGTTTCTAATCTAATCTTCTTTTATCTTTTCCCACTTGGTAATGTTTTTTGTACATTTTTGTGAACTGAAGAATCAGTTTTTATTTTCCTTTTTTGTTATCAATAATAAAATTTAATTTGCTAGTATATTGAAATTGGGCTAAGTTATGAGAATAAACCTTAAGAGGTTATGTTTATATGCATAATTTCTATTAACTTGCAACCAATTAATTCAAGTTGAGCATTTTTGTAAGCGAATAGACAGGAATAAGAAAGCATTATACTTGTATATTGCCTGGGATAAAGAGTAGTTGTGTTTGCAAAGTGTTCCCCCTGGCCATTAGTATTCCTGTCTGCGCGAACAAAAAGCGTTCTTTATAAAGCTCTGATTTCATTCCATTCAGGTTTCTAAGCCACTATATCCGTTTCAAATGATTCAATATTAATATAAATTTCAATTTCTCTTCAATTTCGATTTCTTTGCAGGTGGAATTTTGTTTATTTCTATGAACGACTAATAAATTTATTGATGTTGATGTAAAAGCAACTAGTTGATATGTTGTATGACCAGCACTTTTTTAAGATTCGCTTTAGCCAATGTGCGCTCATCTCTCTCATCCAGGGTCTCACGTGGAAATGCTGTCATCAGGACGAACTCCACGCTGGAGTATTGAGGCCTCGATATTCGCACATAGCGATAGAGTTCGCCAATGGTGTGCGTTTCGTTAAAGCGTGCTGAGATGCGACTGCCATCAGCTAGACGGACCTGTATAGTCACTATGGGTGCGGTTTCATCAAAATTGAGTGTACGCTCGGCTAGAAGCTCCTGCTCCTGTAGAACCTGCTCCTGAGTTAATTCGATCGTCGATATGTTAACAGAAAGCTCTGGCGTCGGACTGCCCAGCAAGCGGCCTGAGCCCATGAACTGTCTGCGCGACAAGTGGCGGAAGGACTGATTGGTGTGATCTTGTACAGAAAGATCGATACGGTGGCCATATTGTTTCATCTCTTCGGGGAACTGGCCCCGCAGTATTTCACGCAGAAAACGCTCGTTCTCGGGCAAATCGTACGGACGCAGAGAACCGTCGTCAAGTGAAAACCCTTCCGCCCAAAGGTGCAATATGACAATTCTATGCTCGCTATCACTCATGTCAGAATCACTTTCGTGGCCTTCTACGGGGCTGGAGTGTGGCCGTGTTGAGGGAGGATTGATGGGATGAGCACTGCCCAGACGTTCACCATGACCCCAAGTTCGTAAGCTGCGCATACTGTCTGTCGAGGTAATGGCCGGTGTTGAGGTGTCCATGTGGACACGTTTTTGTGCCTTTGGACCTAAAATTTGTTGACCCGACGTCTCCGAACCACCCGCAAAATAATTTTCAGTCTCTTCCTCCGATTTGTGAGCATCGTGTTGGCTTAAAAGGCTCTGAAGCGATTCCAAGCCCTTCGGGTCTATCCTTACATTGCTGTCGGCATTTTTGGAATTGTCGACATCTTTGGAACTGTCCACACCTTCAGCATTTTCGGTTTCATACCTTAACGAGGCCTGATCCAACAGCCAGCCGTTTGAGCTAAGATAGTAGCGCGCTACATCCTCTTTCACGCCATGTTTCCGCATAAAGCTAATCACCTTCTGCTCATGGGACATCTGATCATTGGACACCTCTGAGACTGGCGTAGGCCCCTCTAGGTTGGCAACCGGCAGTTCCTGCCGGCGTCCTCGTTTTTTGAATGGAATATATTTGTGTATTTTTTTCATAAATTCATACTGATGCGTAGAATATTAAATGACCTGTGATGGGGCTGAGTGTTTTGAAGCTGCGCATTTTTTTCTTGGAACTAGGGCACATCTAGCTGATGCCTCTGTCAGCCTTGTTGTCACCGGAATGACTTACATATTTAATAATGGCCAGTTCCAAAAAACATGGCTTAGTAGAAAAAGAAAAACAATTTAAATGTATGCTTTTAAAATTTACGCAAAAATGTCATAGTATAATACAAATTCAGTACTCTCTTGGCCAACTTAGCCCATTCACACCACTAAAGTAAGAATAGTGGATAAAAACTAAGTCCGGATTAACGAGAGGAGTTCTTAGGTATTCTAAGTTGAAGCGGACTATGCATTCAATTTATATAAAATTGTTTTTAAAAACCCTTGTTTGAACAAGAAAATGTATGCATTTAATTGACTATGCGAAGGGTATGCAAATGTATGTAATAGGCAGAAGGAGATTTTGGAGAACATATGTATCTTAAAGGTACATATACAATATGCATAACAAGACGAATCGATATAGATATATCCGCTTGTTCTTTTATCTGTCCGCGAGTGCAAAAAAATATATAAAACAAGTAACAAAGCTAAAGTCGGGTGTCCCGACTTTGAAATACTCTGTACATATGTTCACAATAATTATAGAATTATCGATTTTACCGTTCTCGGTATTCGAACTCACGTAAAGGGTATATATTGCGTCTATGTGAGTGTATGTATGTATATGCTCGTATATTCGTGTCTGTGTAAACATGTTAGCAGTGAACAAAACAGCAACATCAACAACAGTCGCGGGCAGCGCTTGAGCAGCGCTGCAGCAGCAAATATATTTATGGCTATAACTTCTTGTTAAATCGGTCTATCATAGTGAAACTTGACATACGGACACATAATAACTAACTGGGGGTATTTGCAAAATTTGAGTTCGAAATTCCAAGAATTACGGGAGTGAGAGAAAATTTGGTGTCCGTAGGTCTTATAGTCTCCGAGATATAGGCGATTATACGAATGGAAAATCGGGAAAACCCCCATAGGGGGGAAGTGGGGGAACTCGTATAGCGTACACACATAAGGCATCTTTGTGCAAAATTTGGTCTCTCTAGCTCTTATAGTCTCTGAGACCAGGTGTTCATACGGACGGACAGACGGACAGACAGACAGACAAGGCTTGATCGACTCATCTTGTCACGCTGATCAAGAATATATATACTTTGTGGGGTCTGCCACGCCTCCTTCTGCCCGTTACATTTTTCAGCTCCCGCAAACCTAATATTCTGTACATTTCATGTACAGAGTATAAAAACTTTAATAATTTTGATATGAATATGGCTCGTTTAGAGTTTCATTATTTCAGCATCGACTTAAAACAGATTGGAGTATAAAATGTAAAAGTTCACTAAAAAGATTTAAAATTATTAAAAAAATCTCACAGAAAAGATTTTTTTAACTGAAGGCAGAATAGGTTTTAGCTTAATTCTGTTGGCCCATGCATGGTTAGATAAAAGGATAGCAAATTCAGACTTTATAAAATTTTTTTAGGTTAGAAATTACTTTTTAAAAAAAAATTTAATTAAGTATTTAATTAACACTCGATAGATTTAATCGATAAACGCACAAAAAGCAAGGTAATTGGAAAAAAATATATAAAAACAATAATAATATTGAGATGAATATGACTCGTTTAGAGTTTCAATATTTCTGCATTGATTTAAAACATTGATTGAAATGTAAAAGTTCACTAAAAAAGATCTAAAATTATTAAAAATATCTCACAGAAAAGATTTTAAAGATATTTCCATGAACTAAGCCGACCATGGCCATGTGTGATACTTGGCAAAAATATTTCTTGTCCTAAAAGTCTTAAAGGTAAATAAGTTGTTTTGTTAGCTTAAAATAAACAAGAAAGCTTACCATCAATGAACTTGAGAAGATATGTAACTGGAAAGACTACAAGTATACTTCTAGTCTATTTTCTTAGTAAACATAGACGATTAATAAGCATGATAAGGCAAACGAATGGGCCTTGTTAAAAGGGTCAAAGTGTTTTAGAGCTGTTTGGACAAGAATAAAATTATTTCTGTTACATACAAACTCTGAATTTGTATGCAAATATTTCATAATTAATGCACAATTATAAAGCCACCATTGCTAGAATATGACATCTTTTCTATGTAAATGATGATGGTAAAGTATAATTCCGGTAGATGTTCGCAGTCCGTCGAAAGTGTGGATACACAATGTCGTATACAGGCACGATAAACTAGGCCACTGGTGGCTATACACGTATTCTCATCCTCAGCCCCGTTACTTACCGAATGGCAATTCCTCGGGCGTGATAAGCGATAAAAATTCACTAACGTAGGTGAATATAAATGGGGCCGGCGCAATGTCCATGCCTGGTATACTGTATGTAAAAAATGTGGTTGGCGTCGTTGTTGTAGTTGCGGCCATTGTGGTTGCTGTTGTTGCTGGTGACGACAGCATTATTGTTGTTGCGGTGGGCGTTGGCAGTGTTAGATTACGTTGGGCCATTTCTGGCCAGGCGCCTTGAATTGTGGTCGCTCCTCCTGGACACCGTCTGCTCTTTTCCTATCCTATTCAGCCTGGATAACGATGTCCTGCAAGTGAAGGAATGGAAAAGCTATGAATACACGCACATAAAAACATACATACTACTACACATATAGTGTGTGTGTGTGTCTGGGTGCCAGGGTGTATGTGTAGTGATGTTGTACAATGAAATATTTTTGGTATTTTATGTTCCAATTATGCATTCATATGTACGAGAATATACATATACTTGTATTTTTAGATGGAACCTTCGCCATATGGATGCATGCGTAGGCATATACTCGTATGTGGTTTGCGGTCCATAATAATTAATAAATATTCTGCGCTTTCGCATAATTTAAAATTTGACTCACTGATTAAGGATATATACTTGTATAAATTTTGTCCTCAATCCTTATGAGAAAGACAAAACTACAGCTTTGAACAAAAATAAAAGTCAATGAATAATCATTATTTTATAAGTTTTATTTGTTTTCTCAAAAATAATGATTATTGGTTAATTTTTAAATTAATATTTAAAATTAATCATTAAATTGTGAGAGAATGAATAAAAAAAAAATCATTATTTTGTAGTCTTTTTTAATAACACCTCTAATGATTACATTGTATGATTTTAATTTCTAAGTATATCATCGATTTATAGGAAGACATTATTTATAGGAAGACACTATTTATAGGAAGACATGGTCTCTTTAAATCTGTGTGTTCAATCACTATTTCTTATTCAGAAATATTGTGTACAGCACAAATAAATCCATTGTATTTATATTATTTTTATCAAAAAGGCGCAGCAAGTAGTTGAAATTTAATGTAAATAAAAAATGCAAATCGATGTAAATCGAATTGAAGTCACAAAAAGTCAATAATTTTTCTAGTTTTTGGCCAATACTCGTTATTGGTATTTAATGTAATGATTTAAAGAACGGATTAATGATTGAACTTTTACTGTAACCTTCAGGAAATATATAGCTTTCATAGACTTACATTTATTTTTAAAAGTCTTGATCTTAAAATTTTTTTTTTCACATTGAAATCTGTGTGTTGGTTTCATAAAAAAAATGATCTTTTGGATTAATGGCTGGCCTTTTACTTTAACCTTCAGGAAATGAATAGCTTTCATAGCTTTATATTTATTTGTGAAAGTCTTGAGCTTCGAGTTTTTTTCACATTGTATTCTACAAGTATGGCATAACTCAGTAAATAAGATACAATATGTATTCTTAATTTTTTAGCTGTTTTATCCATGCAAACTCATGATTTGGAATCAACCCAACCATGCGTTAATTGCTTAAACATGGTCATCGAATTCTGTTTGTCAAGGCAATGTCCTAAATTTAGTGAATTCTCCATCAATTGCTTTCCATTTTGTCTTCAAACAAGTGACCCCGAATATGTGTTGCCTTCAATTGTTTTGTTTTTTTTTTTTTTGCTTGCACTCACACGTTAATTCTTTTAATTTCGTTTTTATTTAGTTTCATTTTCGTCGCCTTTTCCTCTTTGCAAGCACACGGACTGACATTCACTATCTACTTGTATGTGGCGGTGCTACTCAAAATTTGAAGCACATAGAGGAAAATAAATTTATTTTGTTTTACGAGCACATCTAAAGCCGCCGCACGGGTAAAGACTTTTATGCGATGGCATACAATTTGGTTTTATTCGTTTAACTTCTGTTTAGTGTCTTGTTTAATTCTTGATATTGCTTTTGCCACTCAGGTCCGACCGTGCCGTTGAACGTTGAGGCAGGCGCTATGTTGCAGATATACATAGATGCAGCCAGTACGGCTACCCCGCCGGTAATAGAAGCCCTACAAAGGCGTTCATTGCTGCCCGCCAACTCGCTTGCTGTTTCCTTGACAATACGTAGTTTTCGGTTCGACCGGCCATGCGGCACATTGTCGTTGGTCCCACACCCCCTTCTTCTTCTTCTGCTTCATCTTCTTCTTCTTCTCACTGGGCATACTTATTTCTCTGTGTGCTCTGGGATTTGCCCGGTGCACCGTTGCAGAATTAGCACAAACCAATACTTGTAAACTTAAATAGTCTTGAGCCCGAAAGTGGGTCATTAAAATTCGATACCTATTAGTCGGCATGGGTTCAGGGCGGCAGGGGCTGACGCTTGGGCTATTCTGGCTGTGTGATTATGTGGGCTCAATGGCCACGAGTCAAGGCGCTGAAATCGCCGGGCAAGCTGTTTTGAAGGCAACTCGATACGCAATGCGCTGTTGAAAGCCATTCGAGACTTGTGATTGCAAAAGTCGTCGTTTTTGTTAAACATAATCGTACTTAGTTGTGGCTGTTTGTGTTATAAGTGCTAAGTACAAGTCTTTTTATGATAACCATCGTATAATGCGCAAGAGACAAAGTTCATGGGGGTCAGATAATGTGGCAACTGGCCATTAGCGCTTCTTGGAAGTTATTGTGAGTAAGAGAGGAGCGATTAATGAAAACTAAATGAACTAAGGAACGAAAGCAATAGTTTGGAAAAACAAGGTTTTACATTAAGTCCGATTAAGTCGTTGATGGCATAAAGTTCAATAATTTCTTCAGTTAAATATGTTAAACATATTTTTGGGTGAGATTAAAACATGGGTTCAAAATGTCGATGTCAATATTATTATCCATTGGGATAGTATCAGTTTGATTATGTGATAGATTAAGAGTAGATTATAAATTTAAAAAATATTTAAACGATTAGTTCGAATGGCACAAGTGAAAATCATTTAAATAACTTTTAAAGCGTACCCAAAAAAAAAAAAAAAAACACAAGAATGGAATGGTAGAGTCATGCAAACAGAAGCAAAAAAGTAATAAGTTTTTTTTTGAAATCTTTAATCTGTCCTAGGTTGGACAATTATTAAATTTTATGATAACTTTGACATTTTTTATACCCTGTATCCGTAGGGTAAAAAGGGTCTATTAGGTTTGTGCAAAGTATGTAACATGCAGAAGGAAGCATCTCCGACCCCATAAAGTATATATATTCTGAAGCATTCTGCAGCATCAAGTTCGCTCTTCTTCTTCCTTTTGTTTCTGCTAGAGGCGCATATACCTCAGGGTCGGAAGTTTACCTGGGTACAGGGTATTTCACTGTCGGGCTTGCTCGACGTTCTCTCTTGTTTTCGTCTTGTCATAGTAATAAAGAAGTTCTGTATTTTGGGAGGTCTCCTTCTGTGTGTTACGTATGCACATTCGCACAGATCTAGTGTTACCCTTTATCTAAGGGTATATTAAATGTATTGCTCAAATTTTTGTGTACAGTTTCAATATCATACATTTTCTTCGGGTTTGTGTCTTTAAGTATGTGCCAAGTGTGTGAATTTCAGAATTGAGAAAAAACACCACCAGCTGCTGGTAGAGCATGGTGAACATTTACTGACAAAAATGCCTTAACATATCAAATAAACTAAATAAATTGCAAGAGTTGCAAAAATTAACAAATACGAAGTTGGAGATGCACCGAAGAAAAACTTTCCTTTTTTGGACCTAGGAAATGAGGAGATGGGTCTGACATGGTTATATTGACTCATATTTCCACCGTGTTCAATAATATACTATACCGTTATGTGAGTTGCTTCCTTCAACCATTTGAGTATAGGGTACAAAAATAATTGCATACTTTTAGGGTGCATGTTAAAACTTTTCCATAAAAATACTGACATTTACAAATTTTTAAATGATAACAAAAAAACAGTTTTTTAATTTTTTTTTTTTTGTTTTTCTGAAGCTTAGTTGCAAAAATTAACAAATACGCACTAGCGAGGCGGCTCCTGTCCAAACCTAAGAAGAGAAGATTGAAGAAGTGCCATCCAAAGGATCTCCCCACAAGATCCCTTGTATAAAATATATAATATATATCATAAAATATAATTTCATTTCTAATGTAAAACATTGTAAATATTGTATATATGTACATAGATATAAGTGCGTCCTATAGATGCTTACTATAGACAACTTTTGTATTCCCAAACTTTCAACTAGCTTAAGCTGCCATATTGGTAGTAGAAAACTAGTTTAATAAATTGTATATATGTAAAAAAAAAAAAAAAAAAAATTAAATGATAACAAAATAAACAGTTTTTTAATTTTTTTTTTGTTTTTGTGAAGCTTTGCTACTTATAAAATATCTGTAGGTGTTAATTGTTGTGGATTCGTAGAAACATTCTCCAGATGTTTTCATTGGCTTAAATAAAATGTTTGATATATAATATATCCCCATAAAAAGAAAACAAAATTATAAGTGATTCTTAAAAAATCCTTTAACTGATGCGATGTATACTCGAATTTGACCATTACTATAAATAATATGATGCCTTAATGAGATGACTCAACACTTTTAGCTTCATGATTAATTCAAAAATCAAGTGCTACTGGCATGCACACTAATACGTACAAGTATATGGGTTGAGTACTTACGCACACTATTTGCCGTGTTAATTAATTGAAAAGGAGTATTTCTTGTTTGCTATAATTGATATTTTTGTGAAATGCCAGTTGACATTACAGTTTAATATTTTTAATTGCGGCTCATTAAAATGCAAATAGCACAAATTTGATTTGTCGATTTATTTTGATACACAATTTTGTCAGTCTGTGCATTTATTTACTTTACTCGTCGTCAACAAATAAATTGAATATAAATTGTGTTTGCATTTATTTATGAAAAATATGCTTATTTGCATGACAGAAAATGTAACTTTCCGCTTTGGCTGCAAATTTTATTGATTTTGTTTGCTCAGTTATGCGAATCACATTCGTATTGTGTTTACATTAGGACCACTTTTTGTATTTTATTGCTTATAATTACTATTTTTTGTGTAATGTAAAATGAACTGTTGCAGGACTCTGCTGCAGGCTCCTGGTAAGGAGCACTATTTTTATTTTATATTTCTTTTTATTATTTTTCAACGCGAATAGCCAAACGTTCAACAATTTCAAGAGCCGCCACAAGACTGAACTGTTAAATGCTTTAAGCCCAAATAATCAGCAAAGAAAACTTAGAAGTTTTCCTATTTTCTTTTGTTCTTCAAACGAAGAGTATGGTGTGACAAGCTATAAACAGTGGTGAATTGTACTCGTATGTTGTTATGTGGAAACACGTGAGTGTTGGCCAATTGGCGGGAATTCCACAATAGGCTCAATAGGCTGACTGGCGGCCTGTTGTTAGATTTTTCATTCATTTGTTTGTCAACTCAGGTTTCTCTCGCACTTTTCAGTCCAGTGTGTACATATTGTATGTCATTAGAGATGTGCGTATCAGTTCATTCAATAATTTCCATTTATATTGCAGTATAAAACAAATACAAAAATAAGAATTCACTTTTTTTTTCTTTTTTTTTGGTTTTTTTTTAGAATTCCTTGTTTATATTTCTTAAAACTCATAGTTTTCGCAAAAAAGACATAGTAAAACAATTTGCCAATTGATTTGCTATATGTTCTAAATATATTTAAACATGTTGATTTTTATACCCTCATTTTTATACCCTGTTCGCGAAGAGCAATAAGGGTATATTAGGCTTTTGCAAAGTATGTGACAGGCAGATTAAAGCATCTCCGACCCATTAAAGGGTACATAAATTCATTTTTTTCAACTGAATGACTGGATTTCGGAAACGATATGGCATGAGTACTCTTAACACAAGCTTTATTATTGGACGAGCCCTTTCAGACCCCACGACAAACCACTGCCAATTTGTTTATGAATTTTGAAATATATGGTTTTTATATTTAATGAAAATTTTCTCAATGTCTAGGTTTCGCAATTTTAATATCCTTCATGGATTTTTTGGACATCAGTTTAAAATTTTAACTGAAAAGAATATTTTTTTTTGCAACAAATGACTGAAACTCATTTTAAACACTAACATTTATTTTAAAAACATTTAAAATGCGTTAATTTCGCTAGTTTTTCGCAGTTAATTGAATTTTATATTGAAGTGTCTTCTTATTTCTGCAGCTTATTTTGTCAAAACTGAAAAGATTCCCGAGAAATTTACTCATGTTCAAGTAACGGTGAGGGGAACCACGGAACAATGTGAGAAACAAACGTAAACAATAACATACACAATCGATGCGTTTAAGTGTAATAAACATTCGTCAAATATAAATATAACAGAATCTACCCGCACAATTGGTACATCAGAGTCTGAAAGGGCTAAATATGTACATAGGTTGAGACTTGTGATGATATATTACTTTAAATATCATAATTATTATGAGCAATCTTTTTATTTTGACATTTTCACAATGCTTATGAAAATAAAGTTATAGCTAGTCGTTTTTTGTTGTTGCTTTATTTTGTTTAGATTGCAGATTCTCGCAGTACTTTTTATCTACCTGAAGTTTGCATAATGCAGAGAAAAGTGTTTTAAAGTAGCATCAGCGTCATGCCCAGCAAACTTTTTGCGCTCCTTGCAGACAAGCAATGACAGTAACAGTAACTGTAACAGGGAACTGGCGCCCAATCACCCACTCGCGCATCTCTCGGCCGAGTCAGGCGCCAGCTTCCAACATATTGTCGCAATTCACAGCGGGCTAGAACGGGCTCCACGACAACGACAACGACAACGACAGCGGTATGAACGGCTTGTTGTGCGCTTCAGCGCTTGCAATGCCTTTCATAGCTAAAATTCAATTTGCCTTTGATTTATGCATTTACTGTCGGATTTTCACGGCAGCCCAACGCAGCCCAAACATCGCCATCGCCATCCCCATAGTAGTTGCTTTTGTTGCTTAAAGTATCTGTGAACAATCTAAAACTTTAACTTTTCCTTGGCTCTCTTATTAGATAGGAATTTGGGGAAGCGGCTTCAGAAATTGCTTGCACAGTTAACGAGAAATTCGATCGGTAAGGGTATTTCAAGGTTCGAAATGAATGCAGAACATATCAATAAACTATAACGTGTTGCATTTTCTGTCTTGGACAGCTGTTTAGCAATGGAATATAATTTTTATATTTTTAAAAAGATATTTCTAAGTTTACAGTTCCAGAAAAGTGCAATTGGAACTTTTAATATTGCTTTTAAAAGGACATGTTTCGATAACGACGCTTAGTGACTGCCTCGAGATGTCGCTACGAAGTAGAAGAACGGCGATAGGCTAAGGGTATAAAACGGCTTGTGTAATGTATGTAAAGGAAAGCATCTCCGACCCTTTAAAGGGTAGTTTCAAGAGGAAATTAAGTGTGAAGTTAGTTTTGAACCGAACCTGACCGAGCAGAGATGGAGTTTCTTAGATGTAAAGCCAGTTGCTAAATGCCACATTTTGTCTGGTTTATTAACTTTTGGGGAGCCTAATATTTAAATAAGGTGAGACTTTCTTCCTTAGTCTGGTACGTAGCGGGCTGAAGCGTTACTCATTCATTTTTGTAAATTGGGAGCTTTTTGAACGTGGCAACGTCCTTAGTCATAATGCAGGCACGCCCCTCTCGACTTAAAGTGTTCCACATACTTGTATTTAAATTTTGAAATTTTCAAATTGGGGCCTGGGGCTAGCAGGAATCCAACAATGTGATTTCGTTGCAAAGTTTAATATTTGTTCAACCTAGCACCAATCTTAAATAAAGAATAATTATTAAAAAAAAAATTGCAGATTTCCAAAGAACATTTTTTATTTCCCTGCCAAAGAAAGTGAACAGAAAACTGAAAAAAAAAGGTGAACAGAAAAAGTATTATGCGCCGAATTGCTTATATAATAAGAAATCTACATTTTAAACTGTTTCAATATTTTGGGTAATACGTTTTGGCCTAGGCTTTGGTGTCTGCTCCTCAATCTTAGCTTCCACAGTGGTTCCAGTTTCTTCTGCACCAGCATACATTTTATTTTCCATAATTAACATACACATGGCGCTCTTATTGTACTTTGGCGAAATTTTGATTGGAAACGGACTTGTTGGATTGCCTAACATTTTCAAACTGCTCATAAAAACAGACTTGCATCGAAATTAAGCACTTCTTTCAATTTACACTATTTTCAATTTTCCACTGTCACAAATAATCGATATTTACGGTATTATTTACCATACTTATGTTAGCATTGATCTGCTGTTTCGACCAGAGCAGAGCCCTAGATGAAAAACGGTTTAATTTTTTAAAATATTTAATACGAAGTTTCTACAATTTTTAAGCCAAGATTTGACGCAAAGCATCTGTTCAAAATATGACAATTGTTTATATTTCTAAAATATTATGTTTCTTAGATCCAAGTGTTATTTTAAATTTTATGCATTGTGTGTTATTTAAAAATAATTAATTATTTACAATACCTTGTAACTTATTTAAATGTAATTATAATTGATAATTTTAAATTCGAAAAATATGTTGTTTTTCCAATTTATGGCAATATAACTGTAACTTGAAGATTAAAATGAATTAATCTTAATTATACAAATTCAAAGAAAGTTTAATTAAACATTTGAACATGGAAATATGAACTATTGATCGAAACACATGTTTGAGGGGGAAGTCAACGAAAATCTCTTAATATTCTGAACCTTTACTTAAAGTGTTACAACTCAGCGACAGGCATACCAATTCAGATCTAAGAATACTAGCAGATTATGTAAATATCGCGTCTGCCACTGTCAACAACAATGGCGCTTAGATGACACTAACAAAGAATATCGTATTTCCATGAGCAGCACCGAGCAGGCCGACATGGGCAGCATTTTATTAAAAATTCCAATGCAAATATTTAGCAGCTGCCACGCGTGCGAAGGGCGTGGTCTGAACAATAATGCATACTTTCACACATGATGCAATTTAATGGCTTTCAAATATATATCCAACTATATATGTACATACGTTCAAAGGACAGTGCCAGATTAAATGAGAAACTGCAATTCAAAAATGTGCCGGTGGCAGTTCTGCTTCAACCGCAACCAAAACCGAAACCAAAACCAAAACCCAACCCGAGTTACTCGCAAAACGCAATAACCGAAATTAAAGCCACACTAATGAGCAGAGACAAAACCAAATGCACGCAAATGTGGCAGCGACGATGTGGGCATGATGGGGCCAGAAGGCTGCTAAAGTGAATTTGGCTGAAGCTAAAGTGGGTTTTTCGGGCCTGCAACTGTTCCTGCATCAGATGCTGAACGAGTGCTGGCGAATGCTGATGCCGCTGAAGCGGCGTTTCCTCTTCCGGCCAGACTTCAACCCGCGCGCTTATCCCCTTTCTCGCACTTAATATGAGTGGATGTGTGGACACATGCCTGGCAAAGTCGAAATGTGCATGAAAGTCACGTTTTCGGTATTCAAAAGCCGTAAAATTTTTCATTTCCCTGCCAACGAAAGTGACCAGAAAAATGACAAAAAAAAAAGAGGTGGAAAGAAAAAATATTATGCGCCGCATTGCATATACAATAAGAAAGCCAAATTTTATACTGTTTTCATATTTTTGGTAATACATTCTGGCCTAGACATTCTCTATCATATGCAAGTCCTTCGGCTGCTGCTGATCCTGCGGTGCTTTGATTTGAGGCCGTCGGCTTGTCAGCTGCTCGACGGGCATAAAACCTGAGTCGCCCAGACACTTTACGGTCACATAGCCAGATGGCCACACAGTTAGCCAAGTAATAGAGCCATGCTTAAGACTTATGCGCGTCCAAGCCTCCGGCGGAAATTGCAAGGCACGGCAGACCAAATATCGTATGACATTGGCATGACCAATCACAAGTAGATAGGAATCCTGTTTTTGTTCGGGAGAGGCGCGAAAGAAGTAGCGCCGAAACGCCGCCTCTATGCGAGGTCCATCCCGGCGAAATGATTCTTGCACTCTCCGGACGCTACGGTGTTGTGGCGGGTCACCCGGACAGGGCGTTCCCTCGGGCAGCAGTTCGCATCGCTTCATCTTCAGCGGATCGAAATTGATCTCTTTCAGTATTATCATAGCTGTCTCCTGAGCACGCGTCATGGTCGAGGCCACGACATGATCCCACGGTACCCCCATGTCGTGCAGCCGCTGACCTGTGAGCTTTGCCTGCAGGCGGCCACGGTCGGTCAAGTGATGACTCCCATCACTAAAATCCACGTACTCTCCATGCCGTACCAGCACAATATGACGTAGAGCCACGGGCATGCTCTTAGTATCATCCGATTCCTGCTGCTGATCCTCGGACACCGGCTGCACCGTCATGGGTGCTCGACAATCCCAGTCGTGTGCCCATGCGCCATTGCCGATTTGTGACAGTTCGCTACCATCGCCTCCTCCACCAATGTCATGAACCTGCCCCTTGACTGTCCGCATGTCTCCGGCATTGCTGCTGTTGCACAGCTTCATGGTGCAGTAAGTAATGAAGGAGCCACTCGAGATGGCGGCCACAGTCCGCCAGATGAACTGATACTGCTGGCTTGCCATCCTTTCCAGCTTATGTGTAGTGCTCCACATGAAACAGCAACACGACAAATTTGATCGAGTTGGTTGGGACCTATTTAGGAGAACTGTGTATGTGAGTGTGTGTGTAAAATGATGAAAATTCCAAATCTTAAAATGTAAGTAAGTTTTCGATTACGGCACCATTTTTTGTCTTGTCTGTCATGCTTATCGTTTGTTGAACTGACCTGATAAAAGTAACATATACGAGTACTTATAAATGTATAAGCTCTATAGGAACAAACTAATACCTTGATACATTTACATTTATATGCCTAGTTACTATACATGTGTGTGGTATTCAGGGCAAGGAAGTAAACAAAAGATGAATTTAAATCTGGCGTTGTTACTTCATTTTCATTTGGCTGGAGACTTGAATAATATTTCGAGAATGATTCTGAACTAATAGCATCGATAATAGAATTTTTATTGGTAATATTTCGTACACCTTAAGCGACATTATTGTCGTTGTTTTTTTTGCAAATATAATATAGCCGATGTTAATCGGGGATAGTGTAGCTTCTCAACAGTGAAAGAATCTTTAAATCCAGTAGCTTCGGAGCGTATTATATTCAAATAAACAAAGAAATATATATTTTCTTTTATAATATTAGTATACATACAGCACATGTGTGCATGCTTTTAAAAGTGAATGTTGAGGTATCCATGACCTACCTCTACACTTTTATATCCTTTTGTATGATTCACAGTCAAGGTCATGCGATAAGTGCGTTACCTATTCGGCATTGAATAATACTGATAAGAACAGACTGTACGGAACCTAGCGCAAATGGTATCAGTCTTATTCAATTCGATCATTTAAAAAGTCACAGTTTAGGTATTTTTGATTTTATTCATTTTAATTAATTAATTTGATTGAAAGAAAGTTAATTAATTGTTTATATTATTTAATTAATTTAATTTGTTTTTAAAATTAATTGTTAACATTTTTTATTTGTTTTGTCCCTTTTTAAGAGTTGAGTCCACTCGACTCGCACATTCCTTTCTTCTTTATGTTACTTTAATTTAATTTTGAAAATTCAATTATTTAAAAAAAAAAGTAAATGGGAGTCGGTAACCCATTGTATGCGAATCAATGCCTGTTTCGAAGCAAGTTGATGGTAGGTACGGATACAAACAATGTGGACAACAATAATAATAAATATTTGCCTTTCAGCGAAAGGTTGCAACTCAACGTTTGTGCGGCATTTGGCGACAGCTACAGAATAATGTACACAACAAGGAATCTGCGGCGCTGGCGCAAAAGTGGAAGTGCTGTAGGCCATATTTATTGAAACATACGGATATGGTATCCACAACCTGTTCACATGCAGAACCTACTCAGCCTGCAGTAATTAATTATTCTTTATATTTTACTCACATATTGCTTTTTTATTTCTGAAATAATTAATACTGTACATTTACAATTTCTTATTGATTGCAAATGTTCAGGTCTGGCTGCTCACTTAAAAAAAAATGCGAGAGTCATTGAAACATGCCACTCGGAGAGTGGTTAGTTAAATAATTGTGAATCAACCATTAAACTTTAATACATATCTTCAAAAAAATGCAATGCTTAATTGAAAATGTGCGGCAGCTTTTGTTGGTTTGTGAGCACTCTTGGGTTTAATTTGCCAACAAAAACTAAAACCATTTTAGAGAGCACCAAAAGGTGTCTATCCTAGCATTCATATGTTAACAATAGATGTAAATAAATGATCAATATAAAATTGTAAGTAAGACTAAGCTCCAAGCTTAAGTTATATTTTTGTTTAGCTATAAGTTTAATTTAAGTTATTGAAATAACAGTACAATTAAAGTGTATATATATTTCAAAAAACAAAAAAATATTTTAACAAAATGTAACAATTTGGTGTCTGTATACTTGTAATATAAAAAGACAGTCGTCTGCCATCGTTTTGCCAAGGCAACGCCTAAGCCGAAGGGAAAAATCCATTAACTTAAAATGCAACGCTTGGACTATGACTCTGGAAGCTGGGCATCATTTCCTTCTCGAATTTACACAAATTTGATTATTATGTTGATGGCAATTTGCAAAATGTCAACGTCATCCTTCGTGCAGAAAGGACTGGAGGACATTTTTCATTGCGCAGAGTGGCTCTGGATCTTCAAGCATCAAATGGCCAAGCACCGAACGTCCCTTTTAGAATAGTGTTTGTCTCGTTCCAACTAACAAGTATTGTAGGCGCCTCCCCATACCGTTTGCTTATCGCGGTCGCTCGTAATTACAGAGCAGCGCTCTCCCTCCAAAGAAACCATCCAACACAAACGGATGTTCAATTTTTGGCTTGTTTCTTCGCTTCCTTCCCATTTTGATTTCCTTATTTGCTTTCTTTCTGTCGCCGTCGCACTTTCATTTCATTCAACATATTTTACTTTGCATTTGCAGTGCGGCTTTAAGTGGCCTGCCGAGGCTCCTTTCCAGCATCCACTAACAAAAAAGCGCTTGACTTCTGTTGCCATGGCGTCTTTGCAGAATAATCTACAAGCCAAATCAAAAGTTTGTACAATTATTGTGTGTATGTATGTATCTTTGTGGTATGCTCGTAAGGCAGTCAGGGGGCCTGCCTGAATGCGTAAAATTGTGTCAAGGACATGGCTGAAATCTTTGCGGAAATTTCGAGAAAAATATGGCGGGGAAGAGTAATCGCGTCAACGTTAATTCTTTAACAAAAATAAAATATTCATTTTGTATGAGTGCAAAATATTAAAGACGTTTTTAAGAAATTGAATATTTAGAGTGAACACAAAAACTTTCTTATTTCTTATAAAGAAACTAATGAACACTATTGAATCAATTTTAAGTTAAGCACACAACACAAAGAATGTCTTAAGTTTTTCTAGATTTTATTAAGTTAATTGTAACTTTTGTTTATTATTAAAAGAAGCAATCGTAACGGGGGCCAGAGTGTCAGATTGCATATTAAGGGTATTTAATAGCAATGGAGGACATATCCAGGAAATTAAACCTTAATACACAAGTATATTGAAATAGAAATATAATTTTTTGAAAATGATCAGATCAATTATTTCGTTTGAAAAAATTTTCATTTAATTTAAAGAAAATTTTCTTAAATATTTATAAACTAAATTTAAACTGTAATTTTAAACAGTTTAAAGTTTAAAGAAATTTATTTTAAATAAGAAAAATATTTATTAAAATGGGCATAGCAACATTTAATATTTATTTGTATTTATATAAATAAATTTGGTAAAATAAATACATCTATTTTATTTCGTAGACCTTATGTGCAGAGTCTGATTTGGTCTTCGATGAATCGAATATAAGTCTTTTTTATTAAATATGTATCTACAAGCCATTCAAATTTGTAATTACTCTTGTTAATTATCGTTTCATTTATAAAAGTGATAGCTTATTATTAATTGTTTAGCTCTGCTTTTATGTTGCTTATAAAAAGTAATTCGTAAAATGGTTGTTGAGTAAGCTAGCTCTTCAGTTGTTGAGATGAGTTGAGTTTAAGAAAAAGTTAGTTGAACGTCGCAAAGCTCAATTCAAATTAATATCAATTTATTTTTATTATCTTTCTGCAAATTGTGGAGCTGAAAATGTGAAAAGAAAATACGTTTTTGTTAATGTTTGTTAAATTGAATTATGGTTAACTTTCAATAATTATTGTATTAGAGTCAACGAATATTTGTGGTACATTCGCAAATGATTAGATTAATTGCAATGTCCTTAAGTTAGTTCCAAGCGAAATGCAATTATGTAAGGTCATATTTCTATGCGCCCGCCTAAGCCTACTAGCAGCTTAACGAGCTCTCAACTTGTATTAGAAATATATTACAAATACACACGTCTGCACATCTATCTATTCACACACATACTTGTATATATTTGCGCCGACAAGAAAAGCCTTGGCGTGTGCCACACTATGTGTGGCGTCCTTCCACGGCCACACGGAGACTGGCTATTGAGCACAGGATGTGCCTGCATACATGACATGCAATGTGTGCCGTGTGCTTTATGTTACCTCAAGTGGCTTATTTTAACAACTCAACGAAAAGTTGCCGCTGAAAGCAGAGAAGTCCTCCTCTAGGAGGACGAGGACAGGTGTATGTAGATGCAGATGCTGCTGCGCAGGATTGAATGTGCACATGCGGTACTGCTCGCTGTGTGGCTGTGAAAGTGTGTGAAAGTGACAAACGAAAGTGCATGTAAAATGTGCCGGTGGTATAAGCCGAAAGAAAGCCAACCGTAAGCACAGGAAGAAGAATGGTAAGAGATGTGCATTTGGCGAACGACATCTCGGGCAAGTACGAGTATTATATTGGTGCTGCAGCATTTCATTTTGTCCGCATATGGGACTTGTTGAGGTCTTAAGCTAAAAGATTTTATTCCTTTTGATGACAGTTACTTTGCATTATGCCACATTTCATTTGCACAGCTTACCACAGCCCTGAAAAGGTTGCACATCAATCATAGTGAGCTCCCGTTCATCCATATTTAGAGTGACAAGCGTAGTATTTGCTTAATTAAATTTTAATAAAACTTCTTGCAATGCAAATGTTCTCACTTGGCCAGCAAATCAATTCAACGCCCCAGCAAAATGACAATGTCAAAGTTTCAGCAACTTCATTAGGCCAATTGGCTTGGCGACAAATCTGACAGCCAACAGACTGGACTATGGCCGTGTCCAGGAGCCCAACTCGGCTTCCCATCCCCATCCTTTACGACTTCGGACGGCCACTTGTGGATGTCAGGAATTTGTACCGATTCAAGTTTCAGCCAAGCTGGGACTTTTGTTTTTAGCTTTTCCGGGTCACAAATGAAATCAAGCGAGAAGTTGGCAAAAGTTGTTGAAACATTGGAAATGTTAAGAATAGGCATTTGCCATTTTATGGGCGTTGCCTTTGGCGCTCCAAGTTTGTCATAAGCATATTGCCAAGGGTAAGTAAAGTACAAACTTTGACACCCAGTTGGCAAGCATTGGCTTTTTCTGTGGTGCATTTTCATAGCCAAATACTTGTAGTAGCTCGAGACACTGACGACTGAATGCAGCCTGAAATTGTTTAAGGTTTTGCCTAAT